AAAAAAAAGGCTTGACGTCCCCGCCCCCCTCACCCTCTTCTTCACGGTCAAGTATGAGATTGAGGAGAGTCAAACAGAGAAGAGTGACTGAGCACTTCAGTACCTGCGCTTCTTTTTCGGCAGCGGTTTGAGCGGCCACAGGAAATACTGTCCCCAGTGGGGATCCCACCTCGCGTCGAGCAGCTGCCAGTGGAGCGGCAGAACGGCGGGCTCGCAATTCTCGTCCCGGCCGATGGTCCAGTGGCCCTGGTACCAGCAGTTCTTGGACGCGTCCCACGCGAAGCTCTCGTGGAATATCCTGCCCTGGGGCGGGTCCATGTAGTCCAGCCACTGGGCGTGCTCGGCCTTGTTGGCGGGGTTGCAGATCTGGCTCGGATCGAGTTTGGTGCAGTCGGACTTGGACACGATGGGCTTCCCGGCGGCGTCGCGGTCGTTGAAGATGAACATGAGGCGCGCGCTGATTTCGAGGTCCAGGTCGCTGAGGAAGCGGCCCTTTTTGACGCGGTCGATGAGACTCAACACGAGAGCCTTGTGTGGCCACTTTTGGGCGGACAGGAGGTGTTGCTAGGAAGAGTCAGTCAAGACAGCACTGCATTGCTCAACGGAACTACGAGCTGACCCTCATCTCTGGAAGACTGCTCGTGATGAACGGGCAGTTGTCCATGATGCACTTGTACGCTTGTTTGATGAATCCCTTGGCCAGTCCAGGCGGACAGCACCATCCGTCGTTGTCGTCTTCAAACTTCATGTCGTTGTGAGCATTCCGTGGAACGCACACCTCGCATAAGCCTCGGACGCAGGGCTTCTTGCCGCTGTCATGGTCGAGGTACCAGTGCATCTGGCACAAACAGGTCAATCCAACATCGCGAAGGACGTGGGAGGGGGTGGGCGGAATAAGGGAAGCAAGCATACCTCTCTGCAGCCGGGGCGCGTATGGCCCGGTTCTCCTTTCTTAGCAGCTTGGGGCTGTCAAAGTTAGCCAAGGGGGGTGTTTCCAGGCGAGACTGGCAGCAGGGGGGAAGCTCTCACCACGCGATGCATTTTTCGCTCTTCGGTATTGTCCTCTCTGAACAGCTTCCTGTTCTCGAGTGACACACCCTTCCACCGCAGGCAGCATTTCTTGCAGACGAACATGGCCGTGTGCTGCAGGGGATGCTGTACCGGGGTCTCAGCCTCGGTCTCCTGCGTTTCCCATCCGATGCCCGTGCCGTATCGTTTTCGCGCGTCCGTCAAGCCATAGTAATCCGTGGTCCAGCCGTGAGATGGCACGTCTCCTTCGACAATGGAGATCGAGTCGAAGACCTTGGTCGGCGCCTCCATCACCTCTGGTTCCTCCTCCGACTCGGCCTCTGAATCTCCTTTAGGCTCGTCCGCATTGTCATCCGCATCCGCGACTTGCGCCTTGCCCTCCTTACCCTTGTCACTATCCCTAGGGTCATCTTGAGATGCACCCTTGGCGTCCTTGTTCTTGGTCTTGGGCTTCCTCATAACCTTGGGCTTGCCCCTCATCCTGGCGTTTTCCTTCAGTTTCGCCCTGAGCTTAGCGTTGAGCATGGCTCTGGGCCTGTCCAGCAGACGGTCCTCAAGGGCACTCAACTGCCTGTCATTGAAGTCGAACTGGTCTTCGACGTCGGCCTCCGGCTGCTGCCTCGCGTCTACGGAAGCATGTTGGGGCTGATCCTGCGCCTCATCCAACGGCTCGCTGGACGCTTTCCTCTTCTTGCTCGCCTCCTCCTCGACCCCCCTGAGGAAGGTATCGACGTGTCCCTGTATACTAACAAGCACGTGGCGGATCCGATTTGGGTCAAGGTCACTGAGGGCGCTGGGGTTGATCGACATGACAGTTGGGTCGAACACGGCTTGTTGCTGCTGCTGCTGCTGCTGAGGCGGGGGCGGCGGCGGGGGCGGCGCAGGTTGCGGTGTCTCATACGATGAACAGGCGTCGATGGGCACTGGTGGCGCCGCCGGTTCGAGGTTCTCGCCAAAGCCGGGATCCGTTGGCGTCAACTGGGCACCGGGCGGCGTCTCGAGGGCGGCGGGCAGCAGGGCCGGGGCGTAAGAGGCATCTGGGCCCGGCCCAGCCCAGGTCTGTTGTTGTTGCTGCTGCTGCTGCTGCTGCTGCTGCTGCTGCTGCTGTATTGACGTGTGGGGGCCGCCGTAGAAATGATCCGGGTGGACCTGGTACTGCTCATGCTCATGGTACTGCGGTGGCCGCTGCTGCGCATACGGGTCGTACTCTGTCATGACGGGCGCCGTGTGAGCTGGCGCGTCGAAATGCGGGTGGCCATGCGGCTGGCCGCGACTCATCTGCGACGGCGGCGGGGGTGGCATGCCCCAAGACTGCTGTTGTGCGAGGTGGGCATTGTACGGCACCGTGAAGCCAGAAAACATGTGATCTCCAAAGTTGGCCTGCGGCTGAGGCGTGACGGTGAGGCTCATTTTGGAGGCGCGAGGAGGGCCCAGTTTGATCTGTAGGGACCCGAAAAGGACGAGGTTTGTGTGTGAGAGTGAGAGAGAGAGAGAGACTGGTGATCAAAATGGAACCGTGTGAGAGTTGAGAGAGCGAATTGCCGGTGAACGCGACAGCTGGTGGTCGGCGTCTTGAAAGGGAAACTGATGCGCACCCTTGACGTTACACAGCAGCTTGATGTTTGGGCACAGCCAATATCTGACAGCACCAGCAGCAGAACCAGCAGCAGCACCAAGAGATCGAGGCGGTGGACGAAGGACGTTGCCTTGTCAGCGTCTGCACTGGGGCAGGGCAGGCAGGTCTGTGGCGCCAAAGTAGGACGTAGGCAAGCAAACGCGTTTGATCTCCTTGCTTTCCTCGTTTTCGCAGTCTCACGTTGTCTCCTCTGTGCCGGTGGTCAGATCAAGTCAGGCTCCGGCTTGCGCCCAGGATCAGGCTGTATACTTGGGGGCGCGGAGGAGGAGCAGCTGTCGGATGAATGTGAGTAGTGCAGTGCAGAGTACCAGCCAGAGACATGCCTGTTCAACGGCAAGGCGCAACGACTGTCCGAGCGGCGTATCCTTGCTGATATGATATCTTGACGACAGAATGGTGGAAAAGGGACGGGCGTCGGGGCCAGTGATGATGGTGAAATGGGAGCCCAGCCCACCATCGGCGACACAGACAAGGTAAAACAAGGCACCTTGAGGCAAAGGTACCTTGGGATAGGTCAGGTAGGGTCACACAAAAAGGGAGGTTTTGGTATGGTGGCACGGCATAAAACGGCGACGCCAACCCATCCATGCGTCGTTTCTCTCCACCCATCTCCTGACCAAAAAGAAATGGGAGCCATGTACTGCATCAGTCAGAAAGTCAGGCGGGGCGGCGTTGGGCCATGGATGATGGACTTCTGCTTTCGTCCGCTCCCCTCCCTCCTCCAACCTTCATGCCTCCCTGTTCCGTGTCACACACGGCCGGCGCTCGTGTCTCCACGTTGCCTTGCGTCGAACTTGGGGCGAGCAAGATTCAGATCCATGCCTCACAAGTCTTTTGACGTGCCCGCGCCAGCTTCACCCACTTGGATCCCCCCCTCAAAGTGTAGTGTGGAGATTGTTTGGGAAGGGCCCTCTCCAGGCCCAGCCGACGAACGAACAGCCTAACCCCCTGGTCCTCATCATCCCCGTCGACCATCGGAGGATCGGGAAGAGAGGGGGGGGGAACCACACCCCTCCCATGTGCAGATGCGAAGAAGAGATCGATAGACATAATGACCAACGAGACGACTCAGATCTGGTGGGTGACGGGCCAATGAAGCGCCGTAAAGCATTTGCAATCGTGGGACTATGGACCGTCCTTGGTCCTCTGCATGGCGCTCTCGTTGTAGTCTAGCTCGGGGGGGAGCGATGGGGGAAGCACTTGGGGGCCGACCAGTAACTCTGGGACAACCTGGACGACTCATTGTTGACGAGCCTTGCTCAATGGCGATGTTTTCTTTTTCGTCTCCTCACCTTGGGCCAACTGAGAGAGGTCCTTGCACGGTCAAGCGTCAACGAAGGCTGGATTGGCCGGCCTGTTTGTTCCGCATGGTATTGTCATGTCGCTCATCGCGTCCGAGACCGATAATCTTCGGCGTGTGTACCGTACATGCCTGTCAGCAAGCCCTGTCTTAGAGGGCGAAAGGCGAAGGTTGTGTGTGAAGTAGTTGGTCGCGTCTCGTCGTCCATCATCTGTCCGGAGAGATTACTCCTCTGCCTCGTCCTGTACCGAGCTGTGTTTTGCTTTGCTATGCATTGCTTTACTGTGTAGTGGGCACTCTTCTCCGCCCGTGCAAGGCTGATGACGCCTCCCCTCTCTGACTATGGCCAAAAGCAGCAAGACAAGCCAGGAGAGGCGCCAGAGCTAATGAAACAGACACGAAGCCCGTTTTGAACTGCCCCATCCGTATAGTACCTAGGTACCAGTCGATGGGCAATTGACCACGGCTCTACCCGTAAGCCAATGCCCAAAGGAGGCCCCTCCGCTCATCAACGGATAGGTCCACAATGCAGTTCAATCTGAAGTCGTCGACATTGCTATAGCAGGAGGAGGGAGAAAAAAACGAAACAGAGGGAGGGAGGTACGGTGCCAGGCGTGAGGAATCAAGCCCGTAAGACTACGGGGCCTCTTCGAACACGCCCCCCTAAGTTTTCAACGAGAACCGCCCAGCTGAGTGAGGCAGAGACTCAGACGAGAGGCGTCAACCATGCAGCATGCAAAACTTGTGCCGATGGCCACCAACCCAAGCTCCCGGTCAAGATCGATCCTGAAGAACCGCGACATGTGCGTGCGTGCGTGCGCACGCGTGGGCGTGTTCTGATCGAAGTCGGAACCCGCGGCTGCCAATTACCCCCCCGGCCACGCTCTCAAGCAAAAGGCCCAGCAGTCCCTGGGATTCCGTTCCCTCTCACCGGTTCCATATCACTCACAGCACCATAGACAGGGATAGTGATGTGCGAGAGAGGAAGGGGGGCCAGAGCCTGGTCGTGGATGAGGCGGGAAACAAACCAGGGCACCCACACACCCTGGGCCCGCGAATGGATGCTACAAGACTAATCATGGCGAGGCGAGAATGGATGGATGCCTCTGCACTAGCGAAGAAAAAAAGGAAAACCGCACCCCCGGCGTCTCACCTGGGGCGGCCTGGGCGGAACCATCTCCCCGAGCGAAGGATCGGCGCCAACGTGTTCCGCCGCCCCTACGTTATCCCAGCAACTTGGTCTCAAGTCGCGACCAGATTCTTGCACCTGTCGCTCGAAATGCACACCGGTCGAGTTCCAACTGCGTGGAGGGCCTGAGGGCCTCGAACATCTCTTGCATGACGCTGGCCTGAGGCAGCTGCGGTGTGCTTGCTTGCGTCCCTCATTCGTGTGCGTCCGACAATGAAAGACAGTGCTTGCGCCAAAGTATTCCCTCGAAATCGGAGAGGGAGCAGATCGAAAGAGTGGGACGATGGGTCTAGTGGTCATGATCGCTTCCATTCGACAAGCGAGGCGATGGAACGGGACTTTACCATTCTTCGGATATTCCTCTGCCTTCGCTAGGTAGCCTGGCTAGCTCCGCGGTAGCGTAACACCGCATGCTTGTCATTTAAAGTGGCGAGTGATCCGGCGGGTATCTGCACACGATGTAGAGTGCCGTCCAATCTCCTGACTTGTAGCCTGTCCTCCTCTTCCCCTCCTCTTCCTTCTGGCGTATCTGAGATGGGCAAAGTCCCGCATGTCTCGTGTCCGTACCCATTCCCGTACTCTTTCGATCAAGGTCCTGATCCGGCGAGACCATCTGTCACGGTGAGGAAAAAAGAACGATTGGACGCAACGTACCAGACTGCGCGACGACATGCGATCCAATGTGGCCAGTGAAACCGGTGAGACGTTTGCTGCGGGTGACTTGTATATTTCCAGACCACACAGCTTAGCGTTAAGCATGTGGCCACTGGCCATGGCTGAGCGGTGCTACGCGCTCGTGCTGAAGTAGTAGTTTTCCCACAAGTACTCGTAGTCTTCCAAGATGCCTCCCACTATGCTGGGCATCCGAGACCTGACACCGCCCACCACGCCCTTCATGACCTTCTCATAGAAAGCGCCCCTCATCGTCCACCAGCCCATGGCCCATGCCCTCTTGTTCCACTCGTCTCGCTCGAGTGGCGTCGTCCGGAAACCACGATCCCGTAGCTGTCGTGCGGCGTACTCGACGCTCAACCCCACTAGCCACGGCGTCCACGACCCCCTATCTTTACTCCGCGCCAACGCCAAAGCATAAATGAGGGGCGCCAAAATGTGGAGCACCTCGGCGGCTTGGGCCTGGCCCTGGATCTGGTTCAATAGCTGAGGCGCGGGCTTGATGTCGTCCGAGGTGAGCACCTTGCCGAGCAGATAGCTACTGATGTCCCCGGGCCGGGGCAGTGACGGCAGGCTCATGCCAGTCCTGGGCATCGCCCATTCCTTCTCGTGTGCCTTGACGCCGTCGTCCGCATCCTCCGCTGGGTCACCGCCGATGAGCTGCTGAAGCTCGTTCGCCGCGGCCGCCTGCTCCTCGGGGTCTTCGGGCACCGGCTCGCGCTCAGGGAGCACCGGCGTCACAAGAGGCCGCGAGCGCGTGATGCGCAACAGCAGCAGCCGGCACAGGGCCTTGATGGCTTCGAGGAGAACGACCACACGCCATCGCCCACGGTTGCCACCCTTTCGTTTCGCTGCCATCTCCCACAGAAGCTGCGTATATGTGACCATCTGCAGGAGCATCGCGACGCGGCGATACATGGTATTGTGTTGCGTCCAGAACTGCGTGTATCGGTTGTGTGGGGACGGGATTTTGGTGATGGGCAGCCGCGAGAGGGCTCGCGTGAGAAGGGTGTCATGGTAGAGTGACAGCAGCTGCACGCTCGAGTGGACAGTTTCGGAGGCTATCTCGGCGTCACGAAAGCGGCCTAGACGGTAAAAGGTCAGTTGCACGTTGGACGTCGTCGTGTCCATGCGAAAGAGACGTACCTGGAATGACGTATGTGAGGGACCTCAGGCCAGATTCAATCTGAGAGACCTGGCTCCCGTTCTTGGTGATGAAGTCCTCGTACTTTTGGAGCCATTTTGGCGGCAGAGATAGGACGCTGCCGATGGAGGAACGGTATGAAGAGGGTTGCGGCTTTGGCGGGTTGGACTTGGAAAGCCCGTTCAGTGGCGCAGGCATCGCATTGAAGGAGAAGCGCGCGCGACAAGTAGGGGTATCTCGATTATAGATTGATCGGCGTAGAGCAGATCAGAGTGAATTACAGAGAAGCGAGTATCGTCAAAATGGCGCGATCGTGGTTTTGGCGATGATGATGATGGGTGATGGGAGGGTAGAGGGAGGGGCTTCGTCGAGAAGCGCGTGTCATGGACGAAGCATCTCGTCGTTCGGCAGCCATTCAACTGCCAGGCGCAACCGTCAATCAGCCGAGGCAGCAGCTGCTGGGGCGCTCATGCCCCATTCGGTGCAGGACGTGAGAGAAACAGCGGGGTGGCCCGAGCGTCACTGGGCTGCCATGGCAGTGACTCCTGAGGTTGGTCAGGTGCCTACCTCAAGGCACCTCACACTGGCCTTCACCTCACAGCCATACTCCCAACATCTTCGATACAGCCTCACGCAGGATGCACGAGATAGGTATATATACACGGAGCCAATGTCCTTCCGTTCATACATTGCCCACATGGGTATAAATCTCCTTCGCTACTTGAACATTGCACTTCTCCCAGCCGTCGCCCTCCCTCGTGCACATGTACATCCATCCGGCCCGCGACTGTGTGTTCACAGCTTCTCAAACCCAGCATCGCGCAGCAGCTGTCCAGTCGGCAGCATTGGGCGCCCTTGCATGGGGAAGGGCCAGAACAGATGATTTTCCGCCGCGGCCGACATGGCAGCACGCGCATATGCCTTGCCCTCCGTCGTCTCTTCTTGTTCCCCGCTGCCCGATGCCAGCGCCGACAGCCCTTCTACGGAAGGCATCTCTCGCGAGGCTCCGTCACCCGCGCCGGTACCCCATTCGCACACAAAGTCCTCCTCGCGTACGTTGGGCGCAAAGAAGTTGAGGCTACTCGTAAACGGCCTGGCGCTGCGTGCATACTCTTCCAGCGGCACGTCGTCGCTGCCCATGTCCACCTCAATATTCCACTTGTGCGCGAGATAGCGGAGAATGTTGAGCGCCTGTTCAGCAAAGTGGTGGCACGGCGACATTTCTTTCAGGTCTTCGACGCCTTGTTTGATAGCCTGTGCCACGTGACTGTCGACCGAGTCCTTGGCTTCCTCAGAAGGGTTCATGATCCCTTCCTTCTTGTTTGCCGACTGGGCCACCGGCGCGCTGATTGCAAGATGCATGATGGCCGACGTCAGAACAAAGTACGGCACAAACGATGGCGTGCGACGAAGAGTGTAGAGTTGAGAGTGCGAGCGGAGAAGTCCCTGGATCGCATCTGCCGCTTGCGAGCAGACATCGCGAGGAGATATCTTGGAACCAATAATCCTCAGCTTGATCAGGGGTCGGAAGAGCAGCAGGATAGCAAAGTGATAGTACATGCTACCACAGGAGTCAGCGTTATGGGAAAGAAGTCAGGAAAAGAAGACCTCGGGCCCAGACTGCTGGGGAGAAAGAGGAGGGTGACCTACTGCGTGAAGAGAACGGCCGGCGTAAAATTATGGCCGAGACGGAGCACCTCAGGGATGCGGTCATACCAATTAAGGTACTGCGTATAGAGGCTGAGAAGGTCACGACTTGTCAAAGGTCGACCGGGCGAGTGGAGGACATAAAGCGACTGGTGTACGAGCTCGCTCAGTTCACAGAAACACCTATACACCGATCGTACATTGGAAGGCTGCTCCGCTGAGCGCTGCAGCGGCGCACCTGTACACAGAGTCAGCAGCGAACAGAAAGCCGAGGCTGTACTTGGTGGGAATATCATACCGTCGTCAGTATACGGAATCCACAGGGACGCCTCTATATCGTCTATGATGGCCGGTTTGGGAGGTAGGTGAGGATAACAGGAACACTGAGGAAGTGAGCCTGTGGCAAGGGACCAGGCACTTGATGAAAAGTATCGTCAGTTTGGGGGTCTCAACGCTTGTTCCGCGTGATCATGAGAGACATACTGGTCGAGCCCAAAAGCGCCCCAGAACGTTGCGGCCTGCACGGCAAGCTCATCTGCATCTCCATCACCGTCGATTTGGTGGAGCCCCATCTCTATTGCAAGCCGGATGCTCTGACCCGCGTAGTACCAGCTCTCGGAATCGCGTCCGCAGCTGGCCTCACGTATCGACATGATACCCAGCGCCTGGATGGTAGTCAAGGTATGATGATCCTCCTCCAAGTAGAAGAGGCGTTGGCTTTCTTTGAAGAAGTGATCTCCCGAAGTGTACGGGTCATCGGGAACGGCACGGGTGGACGGCTTTGTTGAGAACCGGCAGCCCAAGGCGAGTAGGGCGTTCACCAGGATGGGCGAACAGTAGCGTGGCCTGCCTTGTTGAAAGTCTTTGAGGAAATGTTCCTTGCTCAACGAAGCAAAAGTGGGATATTCCCAGCAAAAGTAGAGCGCCAGAAGATGTTGAACAAGGACAATATCTGTCGAGATATTTGACCAGGTGCTGGCTGGTGCCTTCATCTTGGGAGCCTCGAGCGGTGCAAGGACCTGGTCGAGACCCCTATAGGACATGATACTCGTTTCGACATGTTCGCTGCCGAGAGAGTCGCCCCAGTAGCCAACCTTGTTCTGTGGTGGCTGGTTGTTCCCGTCGGTGTTCCAATTCATCGAGTCAGGATGCGACTGGGAGGTGCTCCTCGTGCTGTGGCTGTAGGATGAAAAGTTCCAGGGGCTGTTTGGGTCGAGTTCCTGTCTTAGGCCGGACGGCTGACTGGCAGTCAATGGGCTTTTGTTAGACGGACCGCCGCGTCCAAGCCCCAGGGTTGTGATGGGAGCCAGAGAAACCGCAGAAGATCCCGAGGCCTCTCCAGATGACCGACCAAAAGATGGGACCGAGCCGCCCGGCGGCAGGGCCACTCCGAGCCAGTCGGATATGGCCTCTACGGACTGGCCGCTGCGCAGGCGCTTGAGAACTTCCTCCCAAGCATCTGGCCGCACGAGGGCGGCAAAGACCTGATCGCTCGAGCGCTGTCGATAGCGCAGCTGCTCAATCTCAGTGCGGAGGTTCTCCTTAGACTGGCGCACCGGTATCTCGTACACGCACTCAATGTCCTTTTGGCCCTGACAGCGACTACACGGTTTGCGGCCATCGCACTGGATGGGAGGCGCGCGAGTCAGTCGCGCTCTCTAGCAACTGGCGGGGGCGGGGCACGTACCTTCGCCCGCTTCTTTCGACATTCTGTGCAGGCATTGGGGGTGACAATCCCCAGCCCTCGACGCCGTTTAGACAGCGGGTTGTGCGATGTTGGTGGTTGCTGGGCTGGTGTCGAGCCCGATGGGCCAACGGAGGGGGGTCCAGAGCTCGAAGGGGCGGACGGTGTTGAGTTGGTTTGGGGTGCCGAGGGCGCGGCGGAGGAGGAGGCCTGCCCATCACCATCATGGCTGTCGCTGTTTGCCTCCTCCATCTTGGGAGACGCAGTGCGTTTCAGGATGGGCAACTCTTGCCGGGGGCGTCGGTCGAACGGGTCGAATTCAGGCTCCTTGGTCAGGAGTTTGTATTACGGTCGCGGACAGGGAAGCTTTCGTGATCGATCCAACATGCTGAGGCCCTCCGCGACCGGCGTGTTGGCGGTTGTCGACTTGGTTTATCGGCAATGTGAGAACAGGACGGCTCTGATTGTGAAGCGACGTTGGGCTATCTCATCTTTTGGTTAGCAAGTAGCTCTGCAGTTCCGGAACAGAATCGCGCTAAAGAGGTCAACCACGGGCAGTGAGGCATTCCAGTGCGCATCGTTCGTGGCATGTGCGGGCAAGTACAGGTAGGTAGGTACAGGCAGCTAGGCGCGAAGGAGAGATGAACTCGACACGCGCGGGTAGCTTGCGTACCTACATTGGGAAAAGCAAAAGCCTACGACCGGTCAGCTGTATTCTAGCTCGCAGCCTCTGTTTGCCTAAGCTCCATGAAAGCAGCAGCAGTCAACAATGCGCCAAAGAGCTTCGAGGATCGGGATGGCGCAAGAAGAGAGAGCCTGCCAGGTATACTCTTGGTGAGTTGTGCCCCTCAAGAATGGCAACGGAAAAAGGGAATGTGGACAGGCAGCTTGGTTTGTGCCTTCTTCTGGGTCTCGTTTTTCGTCGTGTGTTGTTGGTTTGACCGTCTCGGAGGTTTGTTGGCAGTCAGGCGTGGAAGCAGATGCGGGGGGGTTAGGTGAACATGCAAGGGAATCCAAGAAATCGAGGTCAGGATCTGACTTGCGACACTCAGCTTCTGTGCCCCCCCAAAGTCTTGGAACGAGCCTATGAACTGCGCAGTTCAGCTGGTGGCAGATGCAAGCCCCCTCACTGACAGCCGACGCCATCATCGGACCAGCAGAACTACGCCATTGGGGAGCTGATGCCAATGCCTGCTCGATGGGAATCCCACCTAATGGCCCCAGGGCTCGCTCAGTGGGGCATGTTTCCCGTCCGAGCTTCCAGAGCTCGAGTTACACTGCGGACGGCGAGCTCGGCACCTGCCTGCCTGTAAGGTACCTGGGCAAGCTGGGGTAGAGACCTTCATTCGCGAGCAAACACGCCTGCTGAGTTGCCTAGGTACCTACCTAGGTAGCTTGCCTAGCAGAAAGGTAGCTAGGTGATCCGTAGCGCGGCGCGCCATACTGCATTCAGCCTCATGACGTCATAATGATGGTTCACAGCATGTACCCCAGTCGCCAGCGCAACACCGTTCCAAAGTCAATCGTTCTACCAACTCGGGAACATGGCAGATTCTCACAGAACCACCTCTCAGGCTTGTCGAACCCACCAAGTTACGTACACAAGACTGGATCCTGCCTTGCCTGCCTTGCTCAGTGCGTATCCATCATGGAGGCCCTGCTTGAGGTAGTCTGGTGGCATCGGCGATCATGCTTCCTGGCGGCCGTTACCTGCAAACTCGCATTCATGCATATATCGGCTTTGTTTCGTATACCGTTCAGACTCGCTGTATGCTACAAAAGTCCCCATAACCTAGTCCATACGAAACTCATCCGCACACTTTTGCGCTTCAAGGCATGACAAAAGAAATGGTCTTACGGAGCCAATCGTGAACGACTGCCCTTTCTCAATAGCCCTTACTTGGGGATCGCCCGTACTTCACCGGACTTCGGCTGTGCTCTCCCTTGCTCGGACTCCTTCTCGACGGTGTTTGCGGGGGCGGCAGAATAGTCTTGCGGAACGGCGGTGATGCGCCGTCCGTGTCTGTTCCGTCGGCGTCGAAGTCGAGCTGCCGGCGATGAGATGGCGTCTGTATCGGCACCCACATGTAGGCCTGCGTTGAATCGCCTGGGAATCCCGAGGGCTGCGGGTGGTGGCCCATGTCGGCTGCTGCGTTGGAAGGAACGGGGTGCACGGCCTTGGCGCTCGTTCCTATCTGCACATGGCTCCAGGCATTGAGTCCGAGGCAGAGAAGCAAAATGCCGAAGAAGAAAAACTACAGAGACGACAGATGATTAGTAAGTGCTCAGCGATCGCAGGAACGCCAAAGGCGCAGACAATAGCGTACCCAGGCATGAAGGCTCATGGTTCCGGCAAACTCGTTGATGACCTCTGCCACCTGTTTGGCCGTGTTCTTGACCCGCATGATGGACTCCGGGTCCTGAATGCGGCACTCGTCCCACTCATCACACATGGCCTTCAACGCAGGCCTGTCCTTCTTCTCGCAGCCATTGAGGATGTACTGATTGTTGCACTCGAGTGCCTTGGTGACAATGTCTCGCCGCGCTGCGTCATGGGCGTTGGCAATGTCTGTGCTGACGGTGGAGAACAAAGACCAGCCAAAGTAGAGGAACACGCTGACGACGCCGGCGTTGACGAAGAAGGTCATCCATTTGGCCAGGTTGTCGGGCATATTCGGGTTCTGGTTGATGGTCTGGACAATGATCTCAAACCAGCCTTTTGACGCGCCTGACTTCTTCTTCGAGCCCTTGGCGCCCTGTTTCTGCCGTTGATATCCATCATCGTCCTCCGAATCAGATGCAGACGTCTCTCGCGACGAGTCGTAACGCACATTACCGACATCCCGGTCATAGTTATGCCGCTTGCGCTTGCGCAGCGCCCCAGCGTGGTCGCGGTGAGCTCGTGAGATCTCGCCTTTGCCCGGCATATGTCGCTTGAGGTGTTGGCCGGGTGACCTTGCATAGCGCAGGTTCTTGTTGATCCTGGAAGGAGACATGCCGCCCATGTTGAGGTCCGTAGTGCGATCAACGTCGGGTGTGTCGTTGGGAAGATCCGAGGCTTCAGTCAGCGCGGGACTGCTCTCAGCCTCCGAGAAGAGTGTCTCATCGAAAGGCTTGCGTGGCGTCGTGAAGGCGGGATTCCTGAATGGGGGTGCCGTGCTGGTGTGTTGGATGCGTGGCGAGAAGAGGGAGGTTTGCGGCAACGGAGGCAAGGGCTTCGATGGGCTGTTGGCAAACGGGTTCGGTCGGCTGGAGCTCAACTTGCTGGGAGAACTGAAATCTGCAGCCGGGTCAGCGCTGTGATATCCGAGGCAGGAGTGAGGGTCTGAGGAAGGAAGACGCACCGATGCGTGTCGCCTGGCTTTTGGCGACTTGAGAAAATGGACTGGTGGCATCCAATGGGCCCCTCTGATCTTGGTATTCCCACTCCATGGGACTTTCGTACGTTCTTCGATCCATGCTTAATGTAGTATTTTGCGCCCAAGAACTGCTTTGGTCAAGATTGTAACGAAGGAGAAAAACAAGGGTGCAACGGTCGCAACATAGGGTGTGCGCTCCAGGCGGAAAATGAGATGGCCTGGACGTCTGGAATTCTGTCGGCATCCAAAGTAAACATTGCCCCTCGCCTCAGGCAACGCGACCCGCTCGGCGGCCATTGCATGCCCGCGCGAGCTCTTCCACACTACCGAAGTTTACCCGCAAGCCTGTGGCGCGTTTGTCTGGGAGCTGAGAGAAGGAGAGTCTGGGCATTGAATAGGCCGGACGCTTGGACCATCGTCACTTCTATGTTCCGTACCTCACTTTTCGAGTTGAGGCAAGACCACCCATCCTCTCAAGACTAGATACCATCATCTTCATACGACATCCGACGGCATCAGCGAATCCTCTTTACGCCATAGGCTCACTACGGCACATTCAAAAAAGAACCTGAAATACCTTGGGTTTTACGAGGAAACTACCCAGCACGGAAAGGAGAGTCGTCTCACGACCCAGACACTTTCTTTGATACCAGCTCTGGTCAACGCCGGGTCGCCACAAACACATCACAATGTCCGACATCGAGTCCCTTCCCGGCTCTCCGGTCGCCGTCGCTCAAGATGCCGTCGACGATGTTGAGGAGCCCCGTGAGGGCGTCGACGGAGCCACGGCCGAGGACCTCTCCGATGTCGAGTCCGACGCTCTTTCCGAGATTGACGAGAATCAATTCGAAGACTACGACCCCGAGACGGCCAACATTGAGGATCGCCCCGTAGCCGTGGACGAGGATGTTGCAAAGACCCTGAAGGCCTCCAAGAGGAAGCAGGCGGACGGCGACAAGACGAGGAAGCCGAAGGAGGGCCGCCGCGAGAAGAAGCGCTCGCGCGCCGACGAGGACGAGGCTGCGGATGGCGACTTTGATGAGAGCAGGCCGTCGCGGAAATCCCGCCGCGGCGCAGAACCGCGGCCCCGCGCGCAGAAACCATCGCCCCAGCCGGAGAACGAGGACCATCTCTCGCCGGAGGAGCGGAGGCAAAGAGCGATCGACCGGACGCTGGACGGTGTCTTCAAGAAGCCTACAAAGAGGAGAAAGAGGAAGGACGAGGAGGTATGTGTTCGCCAAGACCTGGGTTCCGGTGGACATGACACAACGAAGGTTACTAACGTTGACGACAGGACTTGGAAGACGAGATTGACGATCACATTGCCTCGCTGAAGCTCCGCATGGAAGGCGCCTGCGAGTCGGACAACAAGGCTCGTGAGGCCGGCCAGCCCGCCGTCCACAAGCTGAAGCTGCTGCCAGAGGTCACTGCTCTGCTGAACCGTACTACCGTTCAGCACGCCGTGCTCGACCCGGACACCAACTTCCTCCAGCACGTCAAGTTCTTCCTCGAGCCCCTCAACGACGGCAGTCTGCCCGCGTACAACATTCAGCGAGACATCTTTACCGCGCTCTGCAACCTGACCCTAGAGAAGGAAGTCCTCCTCAGTTCCGGCATCGGCAAGGTCGTCCTCTTCTACAAGCACTCGAAGCGGCCCGAAGTCAGCATCAAGCGCATGGCCGACCGCCTCCTCGGCGAATGGAGCCGTCCTCTGCTGAAGCGCACCGACGATTACAGGAAGCGCCAGATTGAGACGCGCGACTACGACTACGAGTTTGTTCACCCCCACCCCCTCGACCCCATCCAGAAGACCCCGGTGACCTCTCCGTGCTAACCCGTCTGTCTCCTCTCCAGCGCCCACAAGGCCTCCCTGCGCAATGCAAACTCGCAGTACACACTCGCCCAGCGCCCCTCCATCTCGGCCCGCGACGCCGAGCGCGAGCGCTTCCTCGCCAACGGCGTCAAGAGCAACCGCGCCCGCCCCGGCGGCCTGCCTGCCAGCTACAGCATCGCTCCCGTGAGCACGTTCGACCCGACGACGGCGCCCGACCACCGCCCCATCGGTGCCAGCGGCGCAGAGGCCTTCCGCAAGATGACCCAGAAGGCGAAGAAGCGTTGAGCAGTGGCCAGATGTAGATTTGGTGAGGTGGGGCGACGCCTGTTCGAGAGGGCATGTCACGGTAGGGATCGGGGATACGGCGTTTTAGGCTCTCGTCATGTAAGGTAGGGATATCGCGGTTTTGTGGCCCCCTTCCGCCTCCTCGAGACCGCTGCGCGCTCCGCGTGGCGATTCTCTGTCTCGTCGAGATTGGCACCAATTCACAAGATTTGAAAATCAAACCCCAGCCCACAATGGCGCCCCCTCTTCATCATTCGCCGTGTGTATAGCGATACAGGTAATACAAAACGGGACCTCAGAGACGAAAGGGGAGCGGGACGCAAGATGCACACATTGCACAACCTCGGACGGCGTGCCCCGACTGACGAGCTTATTTCACAGCCACTTGTGAAAGAGGTGCAGTGATCACGCAGTGCCCCGACATGACCCGTGGACTCTCAATTCAGTGCTCACTTTGATTCCAAGGCACAAACTCCATGAAAAAGTCAGTGGTCTATCTATCCTTCATGCAGACCAACAAGCCATGCATAACAAGCTCCCAGCTGCGGTACTCCTCAAACCCGGTTCCACCGATTGTGGTGTAGGCTGCTCGGCGTGTAGCAATGTGTAGTGTAGCAACGTCGGCATGTCCCTGTTTCCTTGGCCTATCATCTGTTCGTCCAGTGCACGTGTTTGTTTGACTTCCCACAACAACGCTCTCCCTAAGACGTGGAGGCACAGCCATTGCCCAGACTTGAAACCCGCGACGAGAGGGACCAAAGCAAACGTTGACCAGCGGTGTGTTGTGTTGCGACGGGACGAGGAAGGGCGCAGCACCTTTCGTATCCTCAAAGTTGTTCTGTATGGTTGCGATGTGTTCCGATTCATGTTGTCGTACGTAGTGAAATCCACTACCGTTTCCTAATCTCTGTTGCCCAGCCTTCGATACCTTCGCCGCGGCCGCCCACCTCAAGGCCTTGCACCTTAATTCCCTTCATGCCAAGCGTGTCAGTGAGCCACGCGTGTCCAGCCATGCCGCCAGCATTGGCACGCTTTTCTGGAACGAGCTCGAGCATGGGGCCAAGGAAGTCGGCGATGCGCTTAGCCTCCTCTTCCCTGAAATGGTACTTCTCTCTCAGCACATCAGATAAAGCCCAATGACGAAGCCTGTGGATGTTGCGTAGTTCGCCCTTGCGATTGAAGATCTCCTGAGACCACTTCCCAGACAAGCAAAGCGATTTTGGAAATGGGCCGAGAAGCTCAATTATTTGAGCAATGTGGTCGTCGTCTTTGCCGTACTTGGTACCGGACTGGGGGTCAAAAAGATAATCGCCCGTGATGAGCTCAAATGTCTGACATTGGTCAGCGAGTCGTCAAAAGATATTGTGCGTGGACGTGAACAGGATCCTGAGAAGGTCTTACCATCGCAGCCATGCTCCAGACATCGGTGCTCGCACCCCATTTCGCACCCAGAATGACCTCGGGGGAACGATACTGCCTAGTTTGAATATCGTTGGTGAAGTGATGGTTGACCCAGCAGGCATTGCCGAGGTCGGCAATCTTGACGCTGATGACCTCGAGTGTGAAGCCATCGTCCGCCTTGCGCTTCTCGCCAGACGATGCCGACGAGCTGCTCGCCTTGTCAAGGGAGATACCAGAGACTTCCCTGGTGAGAAGATCGCTGTACGAGCGACGTTAGCATTCATTGTCGTGATGGAACATGGCAGACGCAAACACGTACGCAGTCTTTTCGCGCTGCTTCTGGTCGGCACTTTTGTCACGCTTTGGCGAGTTTTCTTTGGATTTGCCTGTGACGACTCGTCAGTCGGTGTCTTTCTCACCAGGTGGCATGCAAGAATGGGGGCAGGGGGGGGTCGGCTGCAGGCCTCCATCGCGATGACCGATGCGGTGTGCGCGGGGCTGATTGGAAGGTGGGGTAGAGTGCGAGGAGGGGACTGCATTCTTGCGCGACCGCACATACCTTCATGCAGCATCTGCCCGAGGCTGCTGTGAGACTCGGACGATGGGAACATGTTGTTTTGGTTGAAACTGGCATTGAGGGGAGAGGGTAGAGGTTGGCTGCCGGTGATGAGAGTTCTTCTCCTCCTGCGGCCGTTGCGGTTGCCTTCCTTCTCGTTCGTGTCGCTCTTAACGACCTTTTTGACGATCTGCTCGACGTCGCCAATCTCAATCAAGACGTTTTCGGGCTTCAGGTCGGTATGGATGATGCCGCATTCGCGGTGGAGGTAGTCGAGGCCCAGCAGGACCTGCTTTGTGATTTGCTTGACCAAGGGCATGGGAATTCCCCTATGGTTCCACTTCTTGATCAGGCCGAGCAGGTTCTCGCCCAAAACCTCAAAGACCATGCAGACGTGGGTGCCGTTGGGTCCCTTATGGTCGAACGAGTCGAGAAGGCTGACGACGTGCTTGCGGCCAGGGTGGTTGGGCTTGGCCTGGACAATCTTGTTGAGGAGCTTGATCTCGTCGACGGCGGTTTCGGTGTAATGGGCGGCGGAGCGAACGACCTTGAGCGCAACGTGCTTGCCGGCCGTGTTGTCCCGCGAGAGCCAGACAGTCGAGAAGTGACCCCATCCAAGCTTTCGCACGACCGTGTATTTGCCATCCTTGAAACGCTCCCCAATCTGGACAGGATGATAGCCACCCTTGCAGTAGTCCTCAGAGTCTTCCTCGTCGGCGGTGTTTTCTTGCTCGTCTGACGACGGGGACGATGGCGACGCCATGGCGGACAGTTGATGGGCTCTGCGTGGAGAGAGGAGTGGTTAGCAGGTGGTAGCAGAAGAGGTGGTGGGCGCCGCAAGCGCCCGATAAAAGAAACGGCGGTGCAAAATTGGCGGGGAAGCTGAGGGTTTCGCGACCGGGCCTAGGCAGCGCGGCGGGTAGGTACAACATTTCGGGCAGCAGAACCTTGTTTTGATGAAGCTCATCTTCGCGACATTGCGCGCAAAGCGCAATCGGGTTGACAAGGGGAACTCGTAAAAGAAAAAAAGCGAAAGACGAAGGGATGATGCAGTGGGAGAGTGCCAGAACCGGATCCGGTTCAACGACTGTCGCCGGGTTAAGCCATGTGGTGAGGATGGAACAAGCAGGACACAACTTGAGGTGTGCCCGACGAGGCGGGCGGGTCTCTCTTTGAGGCACGGAGCAGGGGGGGGCGAGAAGAGAGCGAGGGGGGGAGGGTTGGTAGGCCAGTTACGCCCAGCGAAATGCAGATGAAGAACGATAGGACAAGATGTTAGGGGACGTGGAGCTGAGCGGGAGCAGCAGACTGGACAGGGACAGCCCCCCTCTCCGTCGCCAGCACCCCCCTCCTCCCCCTGCGATGTGCATGCCACTGGGCAGCTCGCAGCGTGTGCCGCCGCCTGAGTACCGCCTGCCAGCCTCTGCTGATGATCAGGCCTTGCCTCTGACCGGTTCTGATAGGTCTGAGCGGCGCTCGCGTGGGTGCTGTTCGAGTCGCCTGTTCACCTGTTCGCCTGTCGCCTGTTCGCCTGTTCGCCTGCTGGCCTGTTCGCCTGTTCGCCTGCTCGCCTCTTCGCCTGGCCGCAGCAGCTAGGCCCGTGTTTCGACCCCAGTAGCGTCTCTCGTGTCTTTTGCTGCTTGCTTCCTCCACCCCGCCACATGAGCCTGACCCTCACCGAGTCGCGAGAAAAAAAAATGGCGCGGGCATATACATCAACATGGGAAGGAGGGGGAGGGCAGCGCGCGCACAAATGATGATCATGTCGAGAAAAACAAAAAGAGACAGCAAGGAAAGTCGAATGGACATACTGGGGAGTTTCTGTGGTTATGATGGGCTTGAGGGCTTCCTTCTTCTTCTTCTTGGGCGCCCCCGCGCTCCCGTTGGCGACGGCAGGTGTCGCGACAGGCTCGAGTTCAGGGTCGGGATCGGACTTTTGCGTGGCCGAGGCCTTCTGCGCTGCCGCAGCCTCTTGGGCCTGTTCCTGCTCGCCGGCCATGCTGTGTTGCTGTGGTGGGTGGTCACTGTTGTTCTCTCGACGCAGCCGTGGTCAATTGGTGGGTGGCGATTGTCGACCCAGGTTGAATCTGGGTTCTGGTCAGATCGGGGTTGGTTGAGGTGCTGTCAGGACGATTGTCGGGTTGCGGTTGCTCGGCTCGGTCGCGCACGTAAGTTCTGTGCATGCAATTCGTGCGGGTCACCGTGGTGAGATAAGATGATCGGGGCCTCCGCGTTGTCAGGAGGGGGGAAACCCGTGCTAGGGCGATACCGAGTGCTGGTGGTCGTGGGGAGGGGCTCCTTGCGTGCGCGAGAAGATGGTAGTCGGCGCTTCGGTCGACTGGTGCTGTGTTGCCTGGGGTTTAGGGTTCTGAGGTTTGGTCAAGCAGAAACCAAGATCCCGGACGTAGTGGTTCGAGCGCGATGCAGTGCAGATGGAGGATCGCGCGCGATGCTGAGGAGTGTCTCGAGTCTAGAGTCTAGAGTCTAGTTGCGGTTGGGGTGGTGCAGGTCAAGACGTAGTCCGTAGCGAGAGTTGCGTTTCGGATGACTTGAGGCTGAGGACGTCACTGAATTCGCGCGCGCTTGTGCTGTGCTGTGGTGGAATTCGTCTTGACGATATGTACTGGGGGACCGGCGCGGGGTATTTGTCGGCGTCGGCGCAAAAGAAAGCTCAGGGCAGCTGGTCGAGGCCTCGTTTGGTCTCTGTTGCGGGAGAATGGGGAGGCAATGATGATGCAAAGGTGGACGGGAAGCAAGCTGTTCAAGGCTGGTTGAGAGTCGGAAGACCGCGGGCCAGAGGATGCAGGATCCTCAGAGGCAGGACGAGTAACCTGAACCGATGTGTTGGGCTGCAACAGGACGGGAAGGAGGCGTCAACAACGGCCACGGTGATGGAGGGGGGCCAGTCGAGCGTGAGAGCGTGAGAGCGTGAGAGCGTGAGAGCGTGAGAGCGTGAGAGCGTGAGAGCGTGAGAGCGTGAGAGCGTGAGAGCGTGAGAGCGTGAGAGCGTGAGAGTGTGAGAGCGTGAGAGGGCGTGATGATGTAAAGGCGCGGCTGGGCCACCCCTGGCAGGCGGAGCTTGTCAAAATCTAATGCAAGCAAGCAACCCTGACTGTTGGTCGGTCTTGGGTCTTGGGGAGGCCCTGGCAGGGTCGTTGACGGCATGCGCGGGGCAACAGGGCAGCCGGAGAAGCAAGCAGTCAGTTAAACACTGTGGCGGCGGCACGATGTACACGTAGATGTGATGGATGCAGTTCACATGTTGTTGATGGAGACATGATTATCATGTGTAGATAGTGATCTGAACCGGGACACCTACCTAAGGTAAGGGAGGTAGGTACCAAGGCAGCTGGAGGACGGGATGGAGCAGCGCTGTCGATTCAGGGCGGTGTTAGTCCACGGGCAGGCCCCTAAGTCATCCAAGTAGGTATCTGTAGCTGGAAACTGTAGGGGTTGCTAGACTCCTGCTGCCTGCCTGGGTAGCTGCGGTGCAGGTAACAACAGTGGACATGCTACTGCTACCACTTTCCAACCCTCCCACCTCAGTGAGATTGGTAGTTGGCAACACCAAACCACGTTGCCCGGCATGCACTTGAGAAGGATGCTCCTGCTGACTGCAAGATGCATGGGTATTTGGCTGCATAAAAGCTGCATGGCCATTTCCCAAGTCAAGTCGACATACGAACTGGATGGGACACAACATGTCTGCATGTTGAGTTGAGCTCGGGGGACAGCACCTGCTGGAGCAGCTTGCAGCCATGGCCGAAATGCTGAGGTCGATGCTTTCGGTTCCAACAATGAGGTCACAGCGGGTCGGTCACACAGCGTCGGCCCCGCCCCTTTTCTTGGGAGGGGCACCTTCTCTCCAGCCGTCGCGTGTTACATACATGTACGTGTACGTGGTACACACACGATTCTCGGGAGCTTTCATCATGATCCATCTTGCGTTTTCGTTCGGGTACACACCTACTCGGGTAGTTTTCGACATGAGTGCTCAAGAGGGCACGCTGCTCCATCTTCCTTGCCAGGAGTCTATGGACGAACTGCGAGCTACTCGGTCAGCAGCTCATCCTTCTCTACCGCCCTCTGTATCCCAGCCCCTCCAGCCCCTCCAGGCCAGGATCCTGACCCAGCATTCTGGCATTGTGACCCTGCTTGGCTGCCTCTGGGCGTGCCTGGTCGACCCTGCGAATCATGGCCCCAGTCGTCCCTTCACAATCACGTTTCGAGAGTGAAAAGGCATCTCCTATGACCTTTCCAGCCACATGCTGTTGGGTCTGCTTTCGCATTGGGCCAGCACCCAGCTTGTGGTCGTTGTTCGCCCTCGTCGCCTGACCACCCATCCATCACAGGACGCCCAAGGGCGTTCCATCGGACCACGGCAATCGGGACAGCCAGCTCTTGGCTGCGAGAAACGCCACTTTCTGCACAGCATCTGTCACATTCACCGACACTCCGACATGCGCAAAGAGAAGCATTCTATGCCTAGGTACCTGAGGTAGGTACTCAAAATTCAATACGCTGACTAAGCCGATCAGCCTCATTACATTGTCATGCCATGGTTACACGATAATGAAGAACGCTCCACGCTTGCATCGCACGAAATGTTCCAGCGCTATGATGCTCCCTAAACCTCCATGGCAATAAGAGGCATGTTGCCCGCCGCGGGAGGCTCATCGCGTGGCCGAACAAGGACTTGAGCGTCTGCAACGCATCTGCGAGTGGACTCGGTGCAATTCCTACACGCATTTCCCGAAACGTTCAAACCTTGCCGTTTCGCCGGGAGCGAAAGTGAACAGTTCCGCGTTGATGACTTCGTCGAAACCATTCATCAACTGTTCGTGCCGTCCGTACACGTACTTTCATCAGACCTTGGGCACGACGCCTGGGCCTGCCTCGCAGAGGTGACAGATGATGTTGAATTCGTTGCGTGCCTGGTCACTCGAGTATCATAACAGACGACTGTCTGTGGTCAGAGCTTTTCGAGTCCTTGTTTGTTCCCTTCTCTCGGCCGCCCAAACAGCTTTGTTTGCTACTTTCCAGGCGGCTTATGCGGCTTCTTCTCGGCTTGGTGTGCTGCTGCTCGCTCATCGTGTTTTCTCTTCAAGTAGACGAAAAGTTGGAACCGTGGTCTGCAAGTTTAGACAGGATCCCAAACATGTTCTGTGCGCTCATGGTTTCGACAATTCAACGCGTTGCGAGGACAGCGGCGATGCAAAGTGTTCATGTTCAGGAACGGACACTCGATGACTGGGAACGACATCGTCCAAGCAAGCGTCCTGCGGTCCAAGCATGACATGGCATATCAACGAGAGCCGGTGGCAGACGCAATTGCATTATTCTTGCGGTTGAGTTGTGCAGTTGAGCTTTCACATAGGGGCTTTGCGGGGGAACATGACAGGCACACATTTCATCAACTGCAAGCAATGCTCTCTGCTGAACAATGCAAGTAAGGTCACTCATGTATGTCACCGACTTTGTACGAGGCTCTCATTCAGTTGGTTGGGATATTTGGTGTGTATTAACATGCCTTTCTCTAGTATGGCTTTTCTGGGCTAGATCTCGAAGCAGGATTTCCTTGGAAGCACCGCTAATACGGCCGGCCGAGAAGCTAGTTACTGGAATCGCTTTTGTATAGTCAAATCCTTCACTGATTGAAATACTCACGAGAATCAGGCTCATCTCATAAGCAAAGCGATCCGACGCCTCTCTCAGTCTCCCAAGTCTTTTGCGCGTGGTCTGCAGCCTACCGTCGAGTCACTTGTCGTGACCATCATCGGTGACTTTTGCGACTCCGCCTGTCGACATACCGCTCATGCGTATGGAGCTCTCTGTGCACTGGCACAAAGGCCCTTCGCCAATTCCATCCGTCAAAGGGCGGTCCCGTCCTCGGCGGACGGAGTGTGAACGGCTCGATCAGCACAACGTCTATCGCGCCGCTGGGCCTCTGGATGGCCAGGTCGATGCACATGTCTCTGCGCGTATCGAGGATGCAGAGAATGGCCCCGCCAGCGAGGAGCTCGGGAGGCACAAAATAGGCTCGCACGCAGCCGTTGTCCTCGAACATGACGGTTCCGTCGGGAAGCACGCGGTCGTTGACGTTGGGGGTTGCGGTCCGGAACTCGCAGTTGCGGGTGTGGCAGGCGAAGAGGTGACAGTGTTCAAAATAGCAGGCGCATCGCTGGTGGCAGCCGATGCAGCGGATCTGAAGGCCTGCTTCGGACATTTGTTCTTTTCCTTTCCAAGTTAGAGAAGGGGAGAGACCACTTACCAGAGTGGAGGGAGACTTATTTCGATTTGTGCTTGGAAGCTTCGATGGTTGTGAACTGTATAGCTTCGACATGTTTGGATTGTTGGATGTAGTTCCCTTTTTGTATCTTCGTAAGAGCGATGCGAACTACCTGTGGCGTTCTCGACTTCTTTGTCGGTGATCCTCTGTCGTTGAAGAACACCCAAGGAAAGGCTTTGACGGATAACAATGCACTTGTTGGCCTTGTCGTTGAGATGGACAAAGACATCAAGCTCTGACAGGGACCTTGTTGTTGTGTCGACGTACTTGCTGAGAAACAGGCTATCATCTTGGTTTCATCTCACCAGCGGTAGCTTCGGAATCCGTTTACAGTCTGGTAGACAATGCTCAAAATCTTCGTACGACAGCTATGTCAGATGGACATCGTGAATGTCCCTCTGTATCCGTCGAGATCCATCTTTCGCTCCCCCTCACATCCCGACTGTTCCATTGATTACAAGCAGACTTAACCGATCATCATAATAAAACCTGACTCGGAGACTTGGAAAAGCCTACCTCAGGA